CCTGGTCTGCCCAGTGGTCTTTTTCCAGAAGGATTACCTGCCAAAATTCCGTAAGCACTCCCCCCCTCATGAGTGTCTGGTGACCCAAAGTGTTGTTAATTCGCAGTAGAAACTGAAGATGGCGAGGTGGCGTGTTATTTATTGATAAAAGGATTTCCCTATCGCGGGGCCCCAAGTTAATGTGAACTTCCTTACCTATAATCAGCCTCGATGTGGCATTCCGTTCCATTGACTGTCACCGCCTGTTCATGTGAGGTCATCCTTTCGTGTTTCTTCAACAAGTCATAGCAAAGGTCAATAATCTTTGCCCCAGAGATGGAATAATCACGTTCGAATGTCTCAGTTCTTTTCCTGAAGTGCTTCATGAATTTCGAGCACTGAATACATAGTGTAATGACTTCGTTTCCATTATCTGGGTTAAGCATGGACAACCCCACGAACATTGGCGAATGGCGGGCCACTCGCAGGAACCTAAGGAACTCGTCCAGCAAACTGCCGGAGTAGAAGCACGCCAGATGTCCGGAGTCGGAGTAAGGTCTGTGAATGTGTCTCCAGGCGACGGCTCTCAACGCGCGGTACTGCAAACAAAGAGGGCAACTGTCAGACGGGCAGGTAATCGACCACATCGGCTGTCATCTTACCCGACGATGTCTCCGGTCTCCTTCAGTTCACACGTGTGGAATTCTGATACCCTTATTCAAGTAATGAGCAGCTGTTTACAAACATCGCAGTTGGTATGTCGTCGTTTAAATCTTGACGAATGAACAGTCGAGGTTTCTTTGGGTGGTTTTGCTGTTCATAGTTTTTGTATCCGACTCTACTTTACAAGAAAAAGCAAGGAGAACGGAGACCGGTGGAGGCTTTGATTAATTCGGTGATTAACCTTCGGGTTGCACGTGTTCTAAGCATATGAGAAATATCACTTCCGTTTCATCAGTGATTTGGTTTCGCTGTTTCTAACTAACTAGATGCCTTATGGAAACCGAATGTTCATCACCGAACTAACCAAAGCCCTCCACCGGTCCCTGTCCTGGGCCAACAAAATCCAGTCCCCTTCAACTCCTGTTTCCCATAGATCCCGCCTGAGATTATCGTCCCATCTATGTCTAGGTCTCCCCAGAGGTCTCTTCCCCTCAGGCTTCCTGACCAGTACCCGGTGCACATCTCTTGCCCCATCCGTGCGCACTACATGCCCAGCCCATCTCATTCTTCTCGACTTAATCACCCTGACAATATTGGGGGAGAGTACAGATTTTTTAAGCTCATCATTATGCAGTTTTCTCCATGCCCCATCGTCTTGCCTCTTAGACCGAAATACCCTCCTCAACACCCTGTTCTCAAACACCTGCAATCTGTGTTCCTCCCTCAGAGTGTGAGACCATGTTTCGCACCCATACAAAACAACAGGCAAAATTATTGTTTTGTATACTTTAATTTTCAGGTTCTTAGAAATCAGACGGGAACTGAGAAGTAGCAAGCATTTCCGGAATTTAGTCTTCCCCTAATTTCGTCGTGAATATAATTTTGATTTGTCATTGTTTTTACACTGTTCCGTAAAGTCGCGTACGTAGTAACAGTATCAGAACTATAACCTGATTGTCGACCAGTTTCTAGGTCACTAACAATTTACTCTGTTCGATTAAACGCACGACGTCGCTCTCATTGCTGTCGTAAATCACGTGCACTCTTAGCTTCGTGTTGTTGATGTGACGAACAGTCCTCGGCCTACAGCAGTTTTCAGGAACGCGTCTGAATCTGCCCCGGCTCAGTCCGCGTTACACAACAGAAGTTACGCGCTTCTTTTAGAAGCAGAACTGTTAAACCCTCGTCAACACTATTAAGGGTTTGTTCGTGACACAGCGCGTTCACATCCCTCAGAGTCGTTACAAAGATTCTGCCTTTCCCCGCTCTCTTACCTCAAACTTCATAAGCATCAGCGCAATGTAATGTTGATCCATCAGCAGTTGTTGTTCAGTTGTTCGACTTTGTCCTGTACGATACAAGTCATCCACCATATCTGAACTGAAAGGATGAAAAATTACCAGAAGTTCTTCCACTGTTCGACCTTCTTTAAAACGAGACCCGGCGTTCACCATAGCTCGATCAATTTTGGGCCCCAAGGTCAAGAACCCGCAATTGAGAACTAAGGTTGTGACGTCACAGAATCGCTTGCACACGAGCCTCACTCGTCTAGCCAAGACTTCGTAAGGGCAACGTTCGAAAATGAGAGCCAGCACCTCTGGCGGCAAGTCCGTGATGTGCAGTCCAGAGGGTTCCTGTTCCTGTTGACTGCAGACTCCAACTTCGTTGCTTTTTGACTTGTTGAAGGAAATTCGCCTGTAGAGCCAGTGAAGAAGAAGAAGAAGAAGGAAGGAAATAAACTCGTACATCCCGACGAAGATTTTATAACCAAAATATTCCTGGTGGTTGAATTATATTATCTGAGTAAAGTATTCACGGTCTACGATTAAAAACTTGTTCGCCACACAAGACGTCAACAGGTCGTTACTAAGAGACAGCCAACAATGAGACAGAGAGACAACAGTCAACATAGTACAACAATGATATGACGTCATGTCTCGCAGTTTACACTTCCAATAATCAGTTTTCTCACCAAGTTATGTATTGTCGTAGGGTTATAACGATCCTGCACAAACTGCATCAGTTATTTAACACCGTATAATAAGAGAACATTATCGCGTTCGGTGAAATTGAAAGGCTTCGACTTAAATCGTTCCTTCGTTGACTGATTCAAGGCGGGCTACGAACTGCGAGGTAGAGCCACTATGAAACCCGTAAGTTAGAGTAGGCGATAGGTTTAAATCGGCCACATCCAGAAGCATTATCGCATTTAAAATCTAGCGGTCTGTGTGTTAGTACCCAGGGGTCCACCCCACCTCCTGTTCAATCGGTACTTCGGTAAAGCGCGGCCGAGACGTGATGCTAGCCACTTAATCGCATTCAGCGCCGATGTCAAGAATAGGAATGACCCATACCCTCCTCTTACCCCCACCTTCAAACCGAAAAAGAGGCCACGCAGTCTGAGGAGTGGGCCTTGTGCCGCTTGGTCACTGGGACCGTGGGTTCGAATCCCACTCAAACCATAAGTAACGTACTGTTAAGTTAATTTATAAGGAAGATTGTCTCTGGACATGTATACCGCACGTCATTAGACAATATAATAAGATTTACTGAATGTCCAAGTACGACAGATTGTAAATAATCAGGGACGTTAAAAAGACATGTTTTATAAACAACGTATGTGGAGCAGCCAAAATAAATCCGGAGTTTGATTGTTACCGTTTTGTAATTTCCGGCGTTGCATTTAGAACTGCTCTCCTGGAGGAATTCTGAACCCCCGCTGTGAGAGTTGGTTTAGGAGTGCTTCTGCAGTACAGGAAGGACTCGGTTTACGCCGGGGTTAGGTTACTCAGATTTCCGGCGTAAATTGAAGCAAAAATATAGTGGGAACATATGTAAATAAATTAGGTTCCGTTCCAAGATTTTCAGTAATCAACACAAAATACTTAAAAATGTTTTATTTTATGAAATTTACGTATTGAAAATTGTACAAAGTTTAAGAAAAACAAATGGGAAATTTACTGCTTTAAAAACGATGGAATAGATGTCTGTTTGGTTTTCTCTTTTCTGATAATAAGTTATAGCATGGCTGTAGAACTGTCTCAGTTCCTCTCTTAACTGTTGAGCTCCGCTCCCAGATGGGGTCGTTGTTACAGAAGATCTCACGTCCCTTATTAACAAGAGCAATAGTCCTGTTCTCTAGACACCAGTACATGTTTGTCAGTTCACTTGCAGTTCTTAGCCCGTGGTTAATGTAATCTGCTTTTTCTCGTCGCATTTTATATTTCGCTTTTTGTTTAATTATTTAAATTTTAGG